CGCAGAAAAAGCTACTCAAGGAGGGCTTTTTCTGCGCATCTCATCATCTCTGCCCATTCTAAACGCATTCCAACCATCAGAATCGTGCCAGGACACCTCGTTTTCCTAACCCTAACCCTACCCTGGTGCACACCCCTAACCCTAACATAGGGCTACAGTTCCATTGAAAAGAGAGTGATTTTCAAAAAAACCCTCCTTGAGTAGCTTTTTCTGCGCAGCTCATCATGTGTGACATCATCGCCTGGCGCCGCTACTCCTTTCGAGCATGCACATGGCCCCTACATGCGCTGTTATCCGATGCCCGGCTGCTGGGGCGATGCTTTGTGCCGTCAGAGAGGGCTCTGTCTGGTTGAGGTGATGAAAGGGTGGGCAGAAAGGAGGGGCCTGTGTAAAGCCAGGACCTAGTTGGAGCCCCCATTCTGTGGAGGGCAAAGTAAGTGCTGCGTTCAGAGGCACGTGTGACTGGAGCCAAACGGGCCGCCAGAGCCGACTTGGCCAGGACGTGCTGCGAGGGGCAGCCCCCTTCCCCTTCCAGCTGCCCGGCCCTGGCTGCCCTGGTCCCCTCACCTGCCCCTGCACCAAAGCACGTGGGTGGGCACAGAGGGACGGCACTGGCTGCTTCTCCCCCCAGGATCCTCTGCACGGCTAAAGGCAGCCTCCCTGGCTCACAGAGCCCGCAGCCGGGGGCCCAGAGACGGAGGCTCACGCGCTGCCGTCTTCTGTCCCCAATTCCAGGGGGATACGTGCAGCCAGGCGCACGGGAGAACATCGCGTACCTCACGCACACCGAGCGCCGGAAGGACTTTCAGTACGAGGCTATGCAGGAGCGCCGGGAGGCCGAGAACATGGCGCAGCGCGGGATCGGCATGGCCGCCGGCTCCGTGCCGATGAACTTCAAGGACCTGATCCAGACCAAGGCGGAGGAGCACAACATCGTCTTCATGCCCGTCATCGGGAAGCGGCACGAAGGGAAGCAGCTGTACACCTTCGGGCGCATCGTCATCTACATCGACCGCGGCGTGGTCTTCGTGCAGGGGGAGAAGACCTGGGTGCCCACCTCCCTCCAGAGCCTCATCGACATGGCCAAGTGAGGGCGAGGCGAGGCGAGGCACTGGGCCCCGGGCGGGCGGCGGGGCGGCTGAAGCGCTCGCTGAGGAGGGCCGGGGGGCAGTTGCCGCGGGCCCCTCGGCCACGGACAGCGGTGGCACTTGGAAGGAGCCCGGCAGCCCCATGGCGACACCCGGGGGGCATCCAGGTTGGCTGTCGGCTGTCATAGGGTGGATGCGTGCGCAGCCTCAGTCCCACACTGGGCCTCGCCATTCGTGGGGAATGCTGAGGGGGGAAGAGCCCTCCTGCGTTCCTGGCCCGTTTCTGGGCTGCCTGGGGGCGGGGAGGGGGTTGGCTGAACCCAGGCCGGGTGCTGCACCAGGGCTCTTCTGACATTTCCAGCGGGAGGAAATAACTTTAGAAAAGACAAAAAGAGTTTGGTTTGCCTGGGCTTTTTTATTATTAAAATACTCCACGAACACTCAAGGTCTTTGGAGAATTTTGCCTTCTGAGAAAAAGCTGCCTGGGACGCAACTGCAGGATCTTTGAAAGCAGGCAGGAGCATCACACCTGGGCCGCTGTGCCTGGCCCTCACGCATCCCAAGCCTCCCTGGGAAGGGCCTGTTGCGCAAGAGTGAGAAGCGGAGCCCCGCCGAGCATCCTTGCGGCCGGCACGGGCTGCCTGCGTGTCCTCGGTTCCGCGGGGACTGCTGCCGAACTCTGCTAATGGCTCAGACCAAAGCCCAAGGCATGTGGCTGGGCAGTCCCCCAGTTGTGGGCGGCCAGCCAGCTCGGCTCTTCTGTCCCGCCAGGGCAGCCCTTGCCCGGGAACTCAGAAGCCAGAGCGGAGGCTGCAGCCCATCCCTGCCTTCCTGGGAGGAGACACAACATCACTGCTTGCTCCTGATGATTTCTAGCTGATCCTCGTCCGAGTACGCCGGCTCCTCATGGGCCTTCCAGATCTCGGGAGGAAGGCCCCTCAGTTTGTGCAAAGGAAAGCAGTGGAAGGAGGTGTCGTTAAAGACATCCAGGTACTGCCGCGAAGGAGGAAAGGCCTCTTCAGCAGTTGCTGTTAAAACCTAGAGATGGTTAAGCACAGTGAGGACAGGTCCACGTTTTCCTAACACTGAATGAGCACTTGAACACGGGTGGGCGGTGGCTTGTTAATTTTTTTCCTGTTTGCATACGGCCACCAGCGTGGGGGGTTCCCAGCGACAGATCCAAACCAACCAACATGTTGAAAAGACCCCCCAAGAAGGCTTTCTTCGCTTCCCACCCATTACGTAGCCCACCCGAGCCACTGCTTCCAGTCCAAGGCTGCAGTACTGGTGTGGCGTCAGAAGCTTCCTGATGTTGGACAACGGACTTCGCCGGCACAGACACCTGCCGGGCGGCTTGCTCCTCGACGGCCATTGAGGCCCTCGAGCTGCCAAGGGGCGGCCCGGTTGGTGGGAGGGGCCTGCCGTCTCGCACACCTCTCCGCTGGCTGACCGACCGTGCTGCGTGCCACGGCCGGCGAGGGGAGCTGCACCGCGCCAGGTTCTGCTTCGACCGAGCAAGCGCTGTGTCCGAACAGCCTGGCAGGGAGGAGGCGAGGAATCCACAAGGGCAGATTCGCTCCCCCAGCCAGAAGCTGGCCTAAAAGGGAGTATCACTTCGGATAACATGAGGCAGGCGTACCTTTGCGATGTAACTATAATCCTTGTGGAATATCCTGCTCGGCACCCTAGAAGTGAGAGGGGTGGAGAACGTGAATGTGTGCAGAAGCCGGGGAAAAAGGCTTAAGGCCACTGCATACGGGACAGGACATCCTGCCGAGGGCCCGACGCAAGCGGCGGCTGTTGTGAAATTGCATCAGGCGCAGGCGCGTGTCGTAGCAAATCCATGCGCGTGGGGAGAAGTTTGACTTCCAAAGGGCCGGGCTGGGCCAGGGCAGGGCAGGCTGGCAGGGATTGCAGTGAGCACTGGAAGCAGCCCAACCAACGGCAGCCTGGCTCCTGCGTGAGCCGCGGGGGCTGCAGGTCAACCCCAGAAGAGGCGTCTGGTAAAACTGCCTCCTGCCTGGGGCACACGGGCCCGAAGCCGCCTTACCTTTCCTGGATGCCCCGGAAGCTGTTCCCAATGATGGCCATTTTAGAAAGGGCCTCCACAGACCAGTTACTCCAAAGCAGGTTGTTGTACAGAGCCTTCCCGCAGTGGATCATATAGAAGACGGTGGGTTCGTGGATGGGCCGCTTCCCTTCCTGGGGAAGCACGGCCTCGGTCAGGGAGAGCCCCCTGGAGACCGCAGGGTCCGAACAGCTCAGACCCCCAGCTGCCGGGCGTGTGCTCCCAACAGCAGCTCCGACTCCCCGGCTGCGCTCCTCGCGAGAGTCACGGTCAAGGATTCTGCTCAGCTCCTCCCTCCCTGCCCCGCATTTCCTGGGCTCACCTCATTTTCCTGGAGCACCGTCAGGCCAAGATCACGAAGGACTTCGATTTCCAGCACGGAAAAGACGGGGTCGAACACGCAGCACTGGCCGTGCGGAATCTGCGGAGAGAGGGGCGGATGCTGATTCTGGCCCGCGTCGCCCCCGAGCCCAGCCACGCGGCCTCCGCCCTCACCTCGAGCTCCTGCAGCAGCAGCAGCAGCAGGGCCAGCTGGTCGCGCGCCTTGACGCAAGCGGAGAAGCTCCCGATGCCGTAGCACACGCACCGCAGGCCCGGCGCTCCGCTGGCGGCCTCCTGCGGCGCCAGGGGCCGGGGCTCGGGGGCTGGCACGGCCAGCTGCAGCTTCTCCAGGGCAGCGAGGGCTCGCTCCACCACGGGCTCGGCTGGCTGCTGCCCCACGGCCAGGTGTTTTCTGAGGGACGCGAAGAGGGCTCCTGGGTGAGGAAGAAGAGGGTGGAGTGCACCAAGGAGCGCAGCAAGCAAACAACCCCACCGAGGGCATGCGCGAGGCAGGACTTACGCAGGTGTGAATCCCAGAACTCTGAGCTCCGCAGTTCTGAGCTGGAAGGAGATGAGGGAGGCAAGGGGGAGAGAGCCATTTTTACAAGGGTGCTGACTTAGCGGGGGAGCGACACCAGCCACCCCTGCATTTAAAGGCTGGTGGGCACAAGAAGTAAAGCGGCCTTCTTTTTCGACGTGTAGATACCACCTGCACCCCGTGCTGTTGGCCACCACCCTCGGCCTCCACCCTGGGACGGCAGGTGGAACATCCAGGCAGTCCTGAGCCCCAGCACCTCTTGATCTGGACAGCTGCAGTTAAGTGCCAGCCTTTGCCGGTTTAACTCAGAAGCTCTCCTGCAGACAGAGGGCTTCCTCAGGACCGGGCCGCATGTGGCTCTTACTCCAGTGAACCCAGCCACGGGGGAGGGACTGGGGGAGCTGCAGGCCCCTCGCATTGGAGGGCGGACCTGAAGCAGCATCCTGGCTAACGAATTGTGCCCTGGCCGGGAGGTCCCAGGTCCTCCCCACGTGCCCCGCCTGCATGTGGCGCTTCAGCCCCAGCTCGAGGGCCTCCGGGGCAGAACCGCGGAGAACACCCTTTCAGTGCCAGAAGATTCCCTGGGGGCTGCGGGGGGATCGGGGCCTGCTGCTGTGCGGGGCTCGAGCACTGGTAGCCTCCCCGCAGGGGCCGGCTCGGGTCGGGCCCGATCCACTCTGAAGCGCGGCGGGGGGCGAGCCCCGCCATCTCCAGCCCCCGATCCCCCGTCTGGCGCCTGCTGGGGATGATGGGAGCCGGGATTCCCTCGCCCCCTCTGCCCTCACCAGGCCTCCTGCAGCCGCCGCCTCTGCAGCCCGGCCGCCAGGCTGCCCTCCGGCTCCTCCGCCCGCCGCCGCCGCCGCCGCCGGCGCCGGCGCCGGGAGCAGCCCCATTCGCCGCCGCGCTCCATCCGCGCGCGATACGGCCTGGACGGGCCCCTCGCAGCACCCGTCCCATCGACGAAAGGCGACTGCGCAGGCGCGGCGCGGGCGGCGCCATTTGCGGGGCAGGGGAGCGGGGGGGGTGGCGACGGCGGAGGCAAATGCCTCGGCAGAAGGAGGCGGAGTCCCCTCCCCGTCCCGCATTCTGCGTCTCGGAGAAAGGCCCCTCGCTCGGCCAGCCGGGTGGTCGCCAGCCGAAGCACCCTCGAGACCTGGGTGGAAGGAGACGCTCTCTCCGCCCCTCTTCCCGTCTCTATGCTTCTTTTCCTTCCTGCAGCTTCCGCACAGTTGCATAGCAAACCGGAAGTGTTGCTCGGCGCGTTCGGGTAGCCCCCGTTCCCGCTCGGGTGACGTGGCCTGTCGCCGCCCCTCCCCCAGCTGTCCGGTCGGGGAAGCGGTGAGGAGAGCGAGGGCACTTCTGAGCGCGTGCAGAGTGCGTCGCCGAACACGGAGACGGGGCGGCGGGGCAGCGCCTCTAAGCATGGACAGAGCGCCCCTCCGCTTGCCCGGGGATTGGGAGGCCGCTGCCAGGTGGGCCTCGCCGTTGGAGCCGCCTCTGCCGCTCGGCCCCCCTGCACTTCCCTTCGGGGATCTTTCCAGGCCCCGAGGGCAGCCGGCCCCTCCCCCGCCCCGCCCGCCCGCACACCAGCCCTGCGAGGAAGGCTGGCCAGCCTGGCTGGTCCGCAGGCAGCCACGGGGCCCTTCGAGCCCGGGCCTCGGCTCAGTGCCCTCCCCGGTTGCAAGCCCCGGCTCGCCCTGCCCTCCTCCCGCCCCTGCTGCTGCTGCTGCTGCTTCTTCTGGAGCAGCGTGGACCGGCCGCACAGAGCGAAGGGGCTTTGCACGTCCCCGGAAGGGTGCGCTCCTTGCTGTCCTGGCTCTGGGCAGCCCAGGCCCTCAGCACTGGGCCCGGGGGGCAGTGGGCGCCCACTCCCCCCTGCCCAGAAGGCCACCCGCACCCACTGCAGAAGGTGGCCCTTCTGCCTTTGATGTGTCCCAGGCCTCGCACACCTTGGCCCTGCGCGCGGTCAGGCCCCCAAAGCCTAGCAGCTTGCGTGGGCTTCAGTGCCGCATTAGCCCTCTCCATCACTGGCTGCTTGCATTCAAAAGCCCCTGCCTTTTCTCCAAGGATCTGGAGCAGATTGGAGGGCCCGTCCCGCCACTCCTGTGAGGTGCGACAGCCACCACCCAGAGCCACTCGGGGGGCACACAGCCTGCATTGAGGTTCACCCGCCAAGGCTGCACCGCCTTGGTCCGCATGCTATGTTGGTTGCTCATCAGCTGCTCTTGGTCACATGACTGTCGGGAAACCATCTTCATGTGCTAATTTTTTCATGTCTTAATTTTAGAGTGAGGGAAGCCACGCCTGGAGCAGGAATCACAAGACGCTCCGGAGCGAGAAGACGCCATCCGGCCTCTCGCAAATGAGCAGCGCACCCGTGTTCCCGGCTTCAGCCAAATCCTTCCTCAGTCCTAGGCTCGCATCCAAATGGCTGCTGAACCATCGCATAAGGAACCGTGCCAAGTCCCTGGGCAGGCCTGAGTGTCTTCGGGGCCTGGGCTGCTTTGCTGCTTGTTCTGGCCAGGCAGAGAGTGGCGCTTCTTGAGTGCGGAGCGTTGGCTGTGGGGCTGCATCTCGGATGGAGGTGCTGGCATGAAAGCAAGGCGGAAGGGCCTGCACAGGGAAGCTGCCGAACCACCTCCTGGGTGAATTTTGCCCCCAAGTCGGCCCCTGACTCTGGGGTGACGCCTCTGGTGGGTTGATGGCGCCATAAGCATTCTCTTTGGACACGGATTCCAGGCTGTGATGTATCTTTGCGGAAAGGAGCCCTTCCTGAAGTTCAGGAGGTACCGTGGAGAGATTTTAAGCTAAATGGCTGCCTCCTCCCAGAGCGATCCGGCAGCCGGGGCCTGGTGAGTATCCTTGCCGTTTGCTATCTTGCATCCTGCTTCTGCCTGCTCCTCAGCGGTCTGTCTTCGTTAGCGAACAAAGAGTGGGCATGTTCAAACACGCGGTGGGAGGTCTGAGGAGGGACACGCGCGCAAACTGCCCAGAGCCCGGGAGAGCAAATCACTAGCCCCCCGTGCCCCAGGCCGCCAGGCGGAGCCTGGACCGGGCCTTGTCGGGGCAGAGCGTCCCGACCGTTGCGCTGCTGGTGCCTTCCAGGTGGAGCTGCTGCTTCCTCTACGACGGCTCCAAGGTGAAGGAGGAGGGGGACCCGACGCGTGCCGGGATCTGCTTCTTCTCCCCTCGCCAGGTGGGTGCGTCCTGGCCCCTCCGTGTGTGGCTCAGACCGGGAGCTGCTTGGCCCGCGCGGCTCCCGCAGGAGCTGCGGTGGGACCCAAATGTCCGTGAGCGTCCCTGGCAGACACTCTCAGGCTGAGGCTGCAGACCCCCCCACCGGCGGGCGCCCTCCGGATGCCAGCCCCGTGCGCTTCTGCGGGGCCGTTCCGAGCAGGCATGCGCAGGGCTGCCGTGCCCGCGGGGAGCAGCGGGGTGTCCGGCGCAGCCCCCCCTGCACCCAGGTCTGATGTCCCAGCAGCGCGTCGAGCCTTCTGGTGCGCGCAGCACCCGGGCCGCGTTCGTGCGCCAGGCCTTGCCGCCCGTACCTCGGTGGGGCTCTTCGAGGGCACGGCCCACCCGGCGTGGGGCACCCAGCCCACCGTGGTTCGTGCCCCTCGCCCCGCAGACCCCACTGGACCAGCAGGAGCTGCTGTGTGGCCAGATCGCTGGCATGGCCCGCTGCATGGTGGACGTCTCTGGCGCCCCTCCAGGCCTCATCCGGCTGCGGAAGCTCAAGTTCGCCGTGAAAGTGGACGGCAGCTACCTCTGGGTGAGGCGCCAGGCTGGACCGTCGCCCCTCTCGGGGGCGGGGATGGGGATGGGGGGCTAACTGCTCGGGCATTGTGGGAGGAGGAGTCGTGCGCACCGGCGGGAGGCCTCTCGGGGCAGGCGCGGCTTGGTCCCATCCCACCCGGCGCATCTGCTCTTTACCGCTGCCCTCCCCTCCGCTCCCCTCCACGCCGCAGGTGCTGGGCTGCACGACCGACCTCCCCGACGTCAGCGCCAGGCGGCTCCTGGAACAGCTGGCCGGGCTCTTCCGCTTCTACAACGGACCCATCCATCGGGCATACATGGTGATTGCTGGCCAAACGTCCGTGGGGGGTGGGGGGAGCCTCTCTCAGTGTGAGGGCCAAGTTCAGCCTTGGGGAAATGGCGATTCTGGGGGTTCCACCCGAGTCGCTTCCCATTTGCCTGCAGCCCAGAGCTGCCCCCTCCGTTTGGCAGAGCTTCGGGTGCCCAAGCCCAAGCCTGGATTAGCAGCCTGCCGTCCTGGTGGGGGCTTCCCTTGCAGCGGGCCAGGTGGGGGGTCGCGGACTGCTTCCGTGCTGTGGCCCGCGTGCGTCTTTGGAAAGGCACACTTTGCTCCCGGAGACCCACGGGCCACAGAGTTTCCTCGGCTGCTGGTTGCATCTCTCACATTCTCGTGTTTTGTCTGTTCTGTACACACCGAGAATGTTTTTACACTGCTGTTCGTTCACAGACAGTGGAGCAGCATAGAAAAATTCAGGGCCCGCACAAGGAAATAGCGCTAAAGCATCTGGGCTTCCGATGCCGCAGCAGCACAGGCAAGAAACCGCGCTGCTCTGCCGCACGGGCCGTGGGCACCGTCTGCACCTCCCGGGGAAGCCCCTTCCCCTCATTTGCCTCTACCGTTTCTGCGCCGCCCCGCAGCTGAGGTGCTCTGGGAGATTTGCGGCAGTGCCGCCAGGGCATCCCCGCGCTGCTGGGGGGAGAGCCTCTGCTGGGGCCGGGGGTCCCTGGGGGTTGTCCCCCCGCCCCATCCCGGCTGCGCAGGGGTGGGTTCAGTCTCAGGGAAGGCATTCTGCGCGGTCACTGTGCCGCTCAGAGCAGTGTCCGCTTCCCAGGCCGGCCGCCGGAGATCCCGGGGGAATCTGCCTCAGCTCGTCCCCGGGCTCTTCTGCTGCGCCTGGCGGGTGCCGGCGCTGGCTGCCCTTCCGCACCCGGAGTGGCGCCCACTGAGGGCCTCCCTGGCTCTGTCCCCCCAGGAGCACACGCAGCAGGAGCTGGACCGGACGTGGGAGCGCTGCGTGGCGCACCTGCAGCGGACCCCCAGCCACCTCCACCGCGTCTTCGCGTCCCTCTGGGCCGTGGACAAAACCAAGGTAACTCCCGGGGGGTCTGCCCGCAGCGCGTTGCGTGTCCCCCCCGTGGGCCCCGCTCTCCAGCCGGCGAGAGCCCCAGAGGCCCTGCGCATGGCCAGCAGGGGCAGGGCAGCCCCGTCTTCGGGAGGGATGAGGCAGGCGCTGCCCGGGAGGCTCACCTGCTCTGTGCTCCTGCCCAGGTGGAGCCGCTGCTGCTGCTGAAGGCGGCCCTCATCCTGCAGGCCTGCCAGCGTGTTCCGCACGTGCTGGCCGGGTGCATCCTCTACCAGGGGCTGTGAGTATCTGGGGAGCAGGGGTTGCCGGGGGGGGGGGCGCACCGGGGCCAGAGGGCCTGCGGCCGGGGCCTTGGGTGCGGGGGGGCCCTGCTCCCCTTGCGGGAGCCTTCGCTCCTCCTGGGCCGTGGCCAGGCCTGCCCTGCCCTCCCGCCCAGAAGGACTGGCGCTGCTGCTGCTGGTGGGGGCCGGCTGGGCGCGATGGGAGCCGCGGCCCAGCGCTTCTGGGGGTCCGTGGGGCAGGGCTGCTCTTGCCCGAGGGCGCTCAGGCCCGGCCCGGGCAGGCCCTGCTCTGCTCTGCTCTGCTGGGCAGCCGAGCTGGGGAATGGTGTCGCACCCCTTCCGAGCACACCTGGGCGCTCTGGGCCGGCCGCTCCCTCCCTCGCGGGGCCCCAGGCCGGTTGGCTCATGCTGCCTCTGCGGGTCCCCACAGGGTCGTCAGTACGCAGCTGCCGCCCGACCTCACGGCCAGAGTCCTCCTGCAGGAGCCGGACGCGGGCGCAGAGGTGCGTCTCTGCTCAGCCACACGCGGGGACGGAAGCGGCGCGGGGTGTCCAGCCCAGGATCCAGGCGCGGGCCCCTGCTCTTGCAGCCCTCTGCCCCAAGGGGGGTGGGTCATGGGCCCCCGCTCCCCATTCCTCGCAGGGGCTTCTTCTGTGGGGCAGGGCGGGGGGGCGCCCCAGAGCTGTGTGGGGAGTCGGCCGTGCGGAGAGCCCCGGCTGCCCTCCTGGGTGTGGGGGCAGAGGGGCGATGGGAGGATTCCAGCCGGGCTTTTCCCGAGGGGTTGTTCGCACGTTTCTGTTCCAGGACGAGCCAGACGGTGGGCAGGCCGGGCCGGCGGCAGGTGAGTGTCCCGCGGAGGGGACGGCGCTGGGCTGGCCGGGCGGGCGCTGCCTTTGCCCGGGTGGAAGATGCGGAGTCCGCCGGGCGCCTGGGAGGCCCTCTTGGCTCCACCGGGCGCTCGCAGCTGCACCGGGCCGGTGGCGGGTGCCAAGCAGCAGGGAGCCACGCTCCAGCCCGGCTGCCGGTCCCTGGGCCGGCTGCCGCGAAGGCCTGGCCGTGGGCCAGGGGAGCTCTGGCCAGGCGCCCGGCGAGGCTCCGGCCTGTGTGCAGCAGGGTGGAAGCAAGCCCCCCTCCCCTCCCCTCCCCTCCCCTCCTTGCCCACCTCACGGGCTTCGAGGCCTGCCTGCCCGCTCTGCTGCTCTGTGGTCCTCTGCGGCAGGCGGCTCCTTTGGGAGCGCCTGCCCACCCGCTGCAGCTTGCTCACGCCGGCAGGATCCGGGGCAGCTGGCGTTCCTGGGATGCGTAACACGCAGAAGCGCTGGCAGCCCCCGCCGAACGGCCTGGCGCGCTTGTCCTGTGGAATCGGTCGCCCCGGCGGCCGCGTGCGTCACCCAGCCCTCGCGTGCCCAGGGCCGTCGTCGCGCTGGAAGGGGCCCGGGGGCTGCCTTGGGGCTGGGGCCAGGGCTGACCCACGTGTGTGTGTGTGTGTGTGTGTGTGTTTCCCCAGGGAGTGGGCCGCTGCCCAAGGGGGTCCAGATTACCTCGGTTTACCTTTCGGAAGACGAAGCAGCTGCCCTGCGGGATGTCTCCCTGGAGTGGATGTCCAGGTAACGCAAGCTGGCGGGCGCACCTGGGTTCTGCTGCGGCAGGTGCCCCCAGCCTCTCCTCCTCCCGCCCCCACGCCCTGGCAGTGGGCTGACTTGCCCAGGGAGTGCAGGAGGCCCCCCCAGCTGAGGGCCGCGCACCCATCTCCGCTCCGGTCCCCGAATCCAGCAACAGCAGCCGCCATGGCGCCCCATCGTCCCTCCCGAGTCAGGGGCCAACTAGTCTCTCTCTCTCTCCCCGCTGCCCCCAGTCCTAGCAGCTTCCACGGAGGCCAGGGCAGCAGCCAGGCTGGCGTGGCCTCTGCCGGAGCCAGTGGGCTGGTGAGGGTGGCCCTGTACGTGCACCGCCTCCGAGGACTGGTGCTCTCCCTCCTGGCTGAGGAGCGCTTCGTGGAGACCGGGAGCTCCATTGAGGATGTGGTAAGTGGCGTGCCGTCCGCCCCCCCCCCCCATGGCTGGGCCTTGCTCTGGACGGGGCTTCCTCAGCTCCCCCGGGCAGAGCCAGCCTGCAGCCCCTCCCGCTGCAGGGGTCCTTGGGATACATGGAAGGTTAATTTGGGCTCACAAAGCATCTGTACTTAGCCCGATTGCAACCACACACGGGCACTGGGAAAAAAGTTTGCATGTTGCAAGCCCGCAATTTGGCTGAAGTGCTCACTTTTGGAATACCTACACTCCTCCTACATGGACATGGCACGGAGAAAACACCTTGGAAGGGGCCCTCGCTCGCTCGCTCGCTCGCTGGCAGGCGCAGGCCGGGGGCAGCCCGCACTGTCAGTGTCAGTGAGTGGGCCGGTTGCGGAGGGCAGCGCTGCCCCCCCCGACCGACCGAGCCCCCCCTCCCGTCTCGCCGCAGCACCTCAGCAGCCTGGCCTCTCTGAACGGCTTGGAGGTTCACCTCCAGGAGACCCTCCCAACGGACGCCCCCCCGCCCAGCAAGAGCGGCTACGGCTTCGCGCACTACGACTCCATCCAGAACGTCCTCACCAGTGAGTGCGGGGCCGGGGCTGGGGCCGGGCGGGGGCCGGGGGCCGTGCCCGTGCTGTGCAATCCGGCCTGGCAGGACCCCGCAGCTCGCTGCCCCGAGACGGCGGCCGGCCGGCCACCTGCGTCGTTCACCCGGGAAACGCGCCTCCCGTCCTTCCCTCCCCTCACAGCCAGCCTCCCGCCGGCCGTGGCTCCTCCGGACCAGCCCTTCCTGAGGGCCGCCAGCCTGCTCCATGCCACCTTCGCCCGGCTGCCCTCCGTTTCGGAAATCACGGTGAGGTGAGCACGCGTGTTTCTGCGGGGCCCGCGGCACGGGGTGGGAGCCCATGGCTGCTGCAGGCGCCAGACGGAAAGCAAACACCAAGGCAGCCGTCGGCCCCACGGCTTCATGCCTCGTGGCCCTCGAGCGGGTTGCCTGCTTCACGGGGGGTGGGGGCGTCCTGCGGTCGCCTGACCAGAGTTGCGACCCCCTTAAAGCCACAGGGGGCCTGGCGGGCCCCAGTATGCCAAGCTCAGTTACAAGGTGGGGGGAGCGTTCCCTCACTCACGCCCCCTGGCGACCGGGAAGTGGCTTTGCTTGGTGGCCTCGGCACTGGGCCCTGAAACACGGCGGAGGGCTCACTTGGGCGCCCGCTGGCGTCATGGCTGTGCTTGACCGGTCTCTCCTCTTCCGCGACCCGCCTGCCCCCCCCCCCCCGCAGAAGTGCCTCCGCCGCCGTGTACGCCTGCCGGAACGCCGTCCAGGAGACCTACTTCCAGCAGCTGGGCGCCCCGCTCCGCAACTCCGGCGTGCCCAGCCCCCACGACAGCGCCTTTGCCCTGCCCGGCAAGGCCCGGCAGAAGCTCCTGAGGCACGGGGTGAACCTGCTCTGACCCGGCGCCCGACCGGGTGCCTGTGGAGCCTCGCGTGAGCCGCGAACCCCGGACCCTCGCTGCTGTGGACCGTGCAGCCGTTTCCGTTTCCAGCCCGTCGGCGGCTGGCGGGGCTTTCGCACGTAATGTGCGGACTTGGCGTCCCCCGAGCCTCCCGCTGGCCCCACCGCTTGCTCCCCCAGGCCTGACGCCCACTCCCAGGGGGCAGGTGCCCCGGACTGCCGTGCCCCCCGCACATGCGAACGATGCAGGGCCTCAGCCCTGCCTGGCACCATCCAGCGGGACCAAGCCCACCCGGGGGGCAGGTCGAGGCTGTCCTCAGGAGTGCCGAGGCAGGGCCTGCCCCCCCCCGCCCCGGGTTTGCCATTTTGCTGGCTGGCTCGGAGGCGCCGTGCCTCAGGAAAGGCGAGCGCACCAGCCCGGTCACTTTCGGCACGAAGGGGCCGGCGAGGGGGCTTGGCCAAGCACTCCCAAGCTTCGCCCCCCCCCCCCCAAGTCGCTGTCTTTCCGCCTTGGATCCCCCGGCGGCCGGCCTTGTGCGCCCACCCGCTGCCTGCGCTCCCCGTCCGGTGCTGTGCTGGAGGCTGTGGGGCGGCAGAGGACGCAGAGATGGGAGGGGGTCGCTGGCGGGCCCCCACCCGGGTGCAGTGCAGCGCCCCGCCTGGGACAATAAAGGTGCCCCTCGGGCCGCGGGCGTTCTCGTGCGCCGTGTCTTCATTGCAGCTCTCCTCGGGCCTCCGGGAAGCCGGTCCTGCTGCCTCCCACCGGCCTCGGTGGGCCCCAGAGGAAAGCAGCGCCCCCCGCAGGGAATCGGGGAGGAGGGCCGGGCGGTGGGCAACTCCACGCTTGGCGAGGGAGCGGTGTTTGTGCAGCAACAGCGGCAAGGAATCCCAACACGCTCCGGCGGCCGCCTGCCCGCACCATCTGTGCGCACCGTCCGCGGAGGCAGCAGGCAAGCGAGCAGCGCGGCTGCCGGCAGCCCTCCTGGAGCAAGACGCGGGCCACGTGGGCGGCAGCATCTGTTCACCCTTGAGACCACGATCCCCGGTGCAGAACTGGCAGTCGAGTTCACATGCCCTGGCATTTGCCATCGGGCCCCAGTCCCCAGTCCTTGCTGCTCTGCACAGGACGGTGGGCCAGCAGCAGTGGGATCCTGGGGGCAGCGGGCTTCCAACACAGGCACCTGGGACCTGCCTGGCTTCGCGGGCCCTCGGGCAGCAGCAGCAGCAGGGAAAATGTGCCAACTGACCTGACGCAGCAGCATCCGCCGCGGGAAGGGGCTCGTGCCTGTCAGACGGCCTCCCCCCCCACCAAAACACGTGCTCTAGCGCCACCCTTTTCCAGAGGTGTGGAGGGGAGAATTCCAGCAGCCGCAGCTTCTTCCTGGCCTCTGCTGTCCAGCCGGATCCCGGCACCCAGGAACGGCATGCAAGGGGCCGGGCAGTCCCCACGGGGCCAGAATCAGCCCCCCCCACATCCAGGTGCGGCACCCACAGAGAAAGGCATGAGAGTGTTCAGCGCCACTGTTTATTGGGGAAAACACGGCTGCACTCTGCACGCGTCGCGCGGCAGCCTCGCCCGCAGCGGGGGGCCCTCTGGCTCGCCTCTTAGGCGGGGTGTTAAAAAATCATGCACTTTTCCGCGCACGAGAGAGACCGGCGTGTGGAAAGCAGTGCTGGCAATGAAGGGGGGGTCGCCGTCCTCGCCCGGAGCCCACGTCGCTTCCTTCCGCTCCGCAATGCTGGAACGCGGCCTCTGCACGCACCGCTCGCCCCCTTTCCCGCCGGCAGCGCAGCCGGCAGAGCGCGCGGTGTTGCCCGACCTCTCCCAGGACGCGCCGCCGGGCGAGAAGGCTCCCCACTCAGAGCAGGAGCAGGGGAGACGACCGGGAGACGAGAAGGCACGGAGCAAGCCTGGGGGAAGGGGCCGGGGTCCCACGGGGCTGCCCACACGCCTCTGCCGCGGGGCCTCTGCCGGGCTTCGGCGGGGGCTGCTTGGCCACCCAGGCTGCCGGCAGGGACACGTGCCCACAGCCCCCACCCGGTTCCTGGCACACTCCTCGGTGGGCCCGTCTGTAAGGGTCATAAGCTAAGAGCTGACACGGCTACATTCATGGACACCCGGGGCGGTTGGACTCTACGTTCAGGACACCGCAAACACAGGCAGCAACAGAACACACACGACAGCGGCATTGTGCCAAACCACAGAGTAAAAAGGAGGTGGGGCAGCCCCTCCCGCCCCCACCCCAAGCGCAGGACGGAAAGGGGGACCGCGAGGTGGGCGATTCCACGTACAAAAATCCGGCGCGAGGAGAGGACCCGTGCCGCTGTGCGTCCAGGGGTGTGCGTGCTCGCACGGGGGTAGGCACAAGCTCTCGGGGAGGGCGGGCCTGCCCCGTGGCCCCTCCGGCCGGCCGCTCTCCAGCCTGCCACGCAAGGGAGTCCCGTCACCGTCCGGGAGCGAAGATGAAGTCGAGGGCCTGGCGCTCGGCGGCGGCGACGTTGGGGTGCCACAGGTCCACCATGAACACGGCCCGGGGGCCCTCCTCGGGGGCACCTGCAAGAGCGAGGGGCACGGCGGGCGCCTGGTGAGGGCCGGCACTGCGAGGCCCCGGGAGGGAGCCCGGGCTGGCCCACAAGAGCCCCCGCCCCACCCCGCCCCCGGGGGAGCCTCCAGGCCCACGAGCCGGGGGGGCTCTGAGCAGGAAGGGGCGCTGCCCCACGCGGGGCCTGTCCCTGCTCCGGTGCCCCCGCCCAGGGCAGGCGGGGGCCGGGGCGGGGGGGGCGTGCACCGGGTGCCAGCCGGCTCACTTGCCTCCGTGGAGCGCCGTGTGCAGGAAGGAGTCGTCGAAGAGCAGGCAGCGGCCCTCGGCCCAGCACTGCGGCTCGCCCCCGACCACCAGCTCGCAGTTGCCGGGCGTCCGCAGTCCTGCAAGAGAGAAGGCGCGCCTGGGGCCTCAGCGGGAGGCGCGTCGGACGAGCCCGGGAGCACAGGGAGGCCTCGTGCGGAGGAGCCCCCGGCGGAGAAGCCCTTTGCTGGGCGGCTCCCGGGCCGCCCGCCCTGCGAGGGGAAGCTGCGGGGGGAGCACATTGGGGGGCGGGCCCACGGGGGGGGGACCGGTACGTACCCAGGTGGCAGCGGATGCGGATGTTGGTGGGCCCGTAGTGCTCCGCGACGACCGTGCCCGGGGTGAGCACCGAGAGGCAGGCGTTGCCGAAGATGTTGTTGCCGACGCAGGTGCGGAGGCTGCCCAGCAGGCGGTAGGTCCGGGGGCACTTGCGACAGTTCCGGGGCACACAGGTGCCCTGGTTGACCAGGTAGAAGGTCAGCCACTCGCCGCTGGGCGTGCTGTTGACCTTCCAGCCCTGCGGCAGGCTGCAGTTGGAGAAGGCCTTGTACAGGGCGTCGAACTCGCAGGCTATGGTCTGGAAGTTGCGCTCCAGCAGCTCCACGTCGTGCTTCTGGGCGTCCCGCGGGAAGTAGGGGGCGGTGGGCAGGTCCGGCAGGAAGAAGACCTCCGGCTTCTGGATGGAGGGGCGGCTGCTCAGGTAGCGGCCCTGCTCGCGGATGCCCTTGTGGATGCGGCCCATGCCCGACCACGAGTAGCGCTTGGCGTACTCCTGCAGGTTGTGGTACAGCTTCTGGTTCAGCCCGTCGCTGTGGGCGCAGCGGACGCACTCCGGGGAGCGGCAGTGCGTGTAGCCGTTCTGCAGGCCGTTGGCGTCCGCGCCGCCCTGGATGAGCGAGGTCACCGTGACGAAGGGCCGGGGCTGCTCCCGCCCCACGTGGTAGCAGTACCACACGAACATGGCGAGCAGGACGGCCACGGTGCCCAGGGCGGTGGCATCGCAGTCCCGCACCGCCTGGATGCCCGTGCCGACCAGGTCCCTCAGCCGGTCCAGCGAGCCGCAGCAGCCCGCCAGCCACTCCAGAGGCATCTCGGCTGCCCGGGGAGCGCGGGGAGAGCCCGGGCGTCAGTCCTCAGGGTCCCCACCGGCAACCGCGCCGCGCAGATCCTGCCGGGCAGGCGAGCGGGAGCCAGCCTCGGGTGAGCAGCGGTGGCAGGTCCCGCAGCGCAACATCGGCGGGCAGGCCGGGGTCCTCCAGGCGTCCGCCGTGAGGGGGCCGGTGCCTCTCCGAAGGCTTCAGGGCAGCTCCCCCTGCGAGGCGGTTCCCGGAAATGCGAGCGCCCGGGCAGAGCCGCAGCGGAGCCGGCCGAGAACGACTTCCCGGGACGCGTTCAGCAGGTCCAAGCAAAGGCTGCGGCGCCCTGCCATGCGACCCCGTGGGATGCAGATCCGGGCGGTGGATTCAGCTCCGCAAGGTGGTGGCCGCCCTGCCCTCTTGCGCCCCCCGGAGCCGCATCTCCCTCCTGGCACCAAGGGAGAATCTGCCCGGACAGTGGTCCTCCTCGCTATTCTTGAAGAAAGATCTGGAAGCAAAGCACAAAGAGGGCGCCTCGTTTCCCTGCTGCCGTTTGCCAAGCCCCACCCTTGCCTGGACGCCCCGGCTCGGCTCGAGAGACCAGAAGCGGCTCGCCAGGAAGCCCACTGCGGGTGGAGATCAGCCGGGCCCGCCCCACACGCGTTGCTCCTTGCACGGCCACCTTCGGGCTGGGCAGATTCTCCAAAGATGCCAAGACCTTTTGCTCACTTTTGCAGCCAAGACAACTGTGGGACACGCACAGACGTGGCTGGCAGCAGTGCCCGCCCTCACCCCCCCGCCACCACCTTGGAAAGCAACCAGCCCCCATCTCCGGTGCCTGACCGGGAGGGCGCAGGGCAGCCCCCGTGCCTCAGCCGCCCCGGAGGACAGCCAGCCGGGGCCCATTCCGAGAGGCCAGGCCAGCAGCGCCCCCTAGGAGCACCTGGCGCAATGCAGAAGCCTGGATGGGCCCCGGAGGCCTTTCCCGCATGGAGGAGGGGAGTCTTGTTCTGCGCCTCCCATGAAGCCCAGCAAGCGGCACTGACATCTCCCGGCCACGCGGCCCCCGAAGCACCCGAGGCTCACGAGCCGGGGCTCGGCCCGCATCCTGCCCGGCACCTCTGCGGCAACCTCAGTGCTCGGCTTCTCAGCAAGCCCCTCCCTAGCAGGAACCAGGAGCCCAGGGCAATGATGCGCCTCACCCACCAGCTGCTTGCCCGGGGGCCACCCTGCCCTTTGTCCGCCCACAAGGCGAGCCAGGGCCTGGTTGTGGGGTGGAAGCCACATCGGAGGGCGGCTGCTGGCCACACGGGAGCCGGACACTCGTGCACTCCCGGGCACTGGGGGGGCTGCGGACGTTGGGGTCCTGCCCCGTGCCCACAGGGCCTCTGTGCCCCCCACGCTCCTTCTGCAACCGAGGGCAACCCAACGCGTGGCGCCAGCGCTCCAGCTGCACCCGAGCTGCGCACCGGAGGCAGCGCACAGAATCTCCCAGGCAGCAAGAGATGTTATGTAATGAGCTGGTGGGAGCGAGGAGGAGCGGCGGCAGCGATGGCAGGCCAGGCGGCGTGTGTCACCGCAGATCCCCCCCCACCAGCCAGAGGCACTTCAGCAGCGGGGGGGGGGGCAGGGCGGGGGGCCTGCTCTGCCCTGGAGCAGAGCAGGGGAGTCTCCCATGCTCTCGGGGAAACTTGGGGCAGGCCAGGAGGGAATCTCCCCAGGGGGATGAGCGATTGCCAGGGGAGGCGGCCAGGCGCTTCCTGGAGCTCTGGAAAGGAGCCACGGCGCTCTCCAGCAAGGCCACCGTCGAAGGAGGCCAAGCCCCAGCGACCGCCCAGTGCCAGCTGCAGGGGCCACGCAGCCGGGCCGGCCAACCGCCCGGTGCCCGTCTCTGGCCACACGCCTCGCCTTGCCCCCGGCTCGGCACATGGCCCCGAGCCCGCGGCCTGACTCCTCTCGCTGCACGCCTCGCCTTGGAGCGCAGGAGGTCCCTACCCCACGAGTGTTCCTGAGCATGTGCGGCAGGCCTCCACGCCGGGCAGGAGGAGGGTCCGGGGCAGCGGCTGGGCCCCCCGCTCCGGCGCCAGAGCGCCCGCGGCCCCGCAGGCTTCGCCCCGACGCGCATCCAGCGGCGCCCGCGGCGCCTTCCCACCTCAGCACGGGAGGCCAGAAGCCGCAGCTCGGCGCGCGCGCTCCCCGCCAGCACACGCTGAAGAAATGCCCCTGGGCATGTGGAGAGTTCTCTCCTGCGCGAGCGGGGAGCCAGAGCCTGGACAGAGGGGTGGGAGTCGCCGGCGCCCCGCGATGGCGACGGGCCGCCCGGCGCTGCGAGCCGAAGGTCTCGCCGGCGCCGCGGAGGGGCCCAGATCGAGCGGGGTCGCTGGCGCTCCGGAGCCGCGTCCGCCCCAGGCCGGGGCTGCCCGGGCACCCGCGGGGGCGCCTTCGCGCTCCCTCCCCCCTCCCCGCGCAGGGCCCGGCGCGTCGGGTGCCCTCTCCGCGCCCCTCGCCGCCGCATCTCGGCGGAACGAGCCGGCCCCGGCCCCGGCCCCGGCCCCGGCGCGGCCCGCAAGCACGTGCGGAGCGCCTACCCGGCGTGCCAGCGCTTCTGGGATCGGGGCCAAGCGCTCTCCAGGGAGAGGAGGGCCCGTGCCGCCCAGCGCCGACGCGCCCGGATCCGGCGCTCGCCGGCACTTCCTCCTCCCAAACCGGATCAGGCCGGGCGCTCGGCAGAGCGGCGGCGGCGGCTCCGAGGCGCGGGCTGCTGCCCGGGCCGGGCGGGGGGAGCGCGCCTGGCTGCCGTGGGGCCGGCGCTGGGGTGCATCGCGCAGGATGCGGGCGACCGAGGATGCGCCGGATCCCGGCCTGGCCCTGCCCGCCCGCTCACCCGGCCCCTGCCGCCGCCGCCCGCGCCCACCAACCTGCTGCTCGCCGGGGCTCCGCGCCGCCGGGCGATCTGCGCCTGGGCGCCGGGCTCGGCTCCCCGACTCGGAGCGGCGGACCACAACTCCCAGCAGCCCGCCGGCTGAGGCGCGGGAGGGGCCGCGAGCCAGCGCCCGCCCCGGCGAGGACCGCGCGGCGCCGCGCTGCTCCCCCCGCGTCCTCCCGCCGAGCCGAGCCGGGCGGGGCGGGGCGGCTTGGGCTTCTCCCGACCGAGCCTCCGCCGAGCGCCGGACGTGCCCGCCGGAGCAGCGCGCCTGTGGAAGGGGCTGCGCCCCCGCCCGCCCCCCGGGGCTGGCGGCTCGGCTCGGCTCCGCTCCTCCGGCGAGCCCCACGCGGGGCGGCGGACGCGGCCCCACCCGGGGGCTCGCTTCCGTGCCAGCGCGGGGCAGGGAGCGTGTGCTGCGGCCTCCCGGCCGGGGATGATGGGAGCGCCTCCAGTGGGGAAGGCGAGTTGTCCGCGGCGCGTGGGGCCGGGCGGGCAGGGGCAGCTCCGCGGGGTGTTGCTGCGCCCCCTCGCAGGTCCTCGGGGGGCCCCCGGCGTGGTCCGCGGCCTCGGCCTTTCCTGCATCGCTCTGCCCTCCCTCTGGGGGCTGCTGCCTGGGAGGGCTTCCGCCTCGAGGACAGGCGACCGAGAGGGAGCCCGCTTTCTGGACCGTGCGGGGGGCCGGGCAGACCCTTCGCCCCACCGCACCCCAGCATCACAGCAACATGTCGGCTGGAAGAAACGGTGCTGGGGCTGAAGGCCAGGGAAGTGCCGTCCCCCCGGCTTTCTCCTGCTCTGGCCTTTGGGCACTGGTTCCGGTGTTTGAGTGGGCAGGTGGAAAGACCCTCCCTCGGGGAGACCCTCTTCTTGGCCAGAGTTGGCCTCAATCCAGGGCTGAGCCAGGCACTGACATTAAACCCCTTCTTGGTCCACATTAATCCGCAAACTCTGTGCATGCCCAGGAATCCCTTCTCCCCTTTACTGTCCTACACATTGCCAGCTTTTATCAGGCAGCGCTCCGCTCTCTTATGGACTGGCAGGCGGGTTGGAAAGTTGAGTGGGTGAATCCTGCCCCTCACGCACAGACACAGCACTTGAACCCCAGCTTCTGGAAAAGCCCCATCTGTTGAATTTCTGCCTGCCACATGGCTGTCAAAAGCAGGGCCTCTGTGTGATTCCTCCCCCAAGTCATTTCTACGAAGGTCGATCTGGCGGGGCTCAGCTCCGGAGGGGGCGCTGGGGCGGTGCCCTCGCCTGGGCATGCAGGAGGACGGTGCGGGAGGCCCAGCCTGGCTCCTCCCTGTCGATTTGTGGGACCCACCAAGGATCTGCCAGGCTGGAACTGCTCTGCCCACGGTTACTCTCTGGCAGACAAGGATCTGGGGGAGGATTTTGGCAAATGCCACGCTGACATCAGAGCCGATGGCTGCGGCATTCCTGGCAGTGGTTCTGCCCAAACGAAGTCGTGGCCGGCCAGGCGTATCAGCTGCTTGCTGGAGGCTGGATCGGGGCCGCCTGGCAGCTGCCCCGAAAGAGGCCCGCCAGCTGGACTGGAGCTCCCCGGCCTCGGCTGGGCGTCAGCTCGGGGGCAGCTCCAGCCGCAGCCTCCCGACCGGTGGCCGCCCGGCCCCTGCAGAAGGCCAGGCCACCCGCTCCCAGGGCAGCCGCCGCAGTGCCCCGCCGGAACCGGGCTCCCTCTGCGGGCACACGGGGCTTCCGGGCCAGGGCCAGTCCGCCCGGACTCGGACCCGCCCGTGGGATGGAAGCTGCAGGGCAGAGGCGGCCCTGCAGCCTCGCCTGGCACAGCAGCCGGCAGGCCACGCATCTCCTGGCACTGGACTCCGGGGCGCCTCCCGGACTGTCCGGGCGTCTCCCGTCCGGCGGTGGGAACCGCTGCTGGAGGGGGGGCCATCCGGGGGTTGCCGCCGGCAGAGCCTCCCTGCCCTGCAGGCCCAGGCGCTTTGCTCCCCAGTCAGAGGGTCTCCACCGACCCACAGCTCCCCTGCGGCCAAGGTGCTGACCCCTACGTGGCCCACCCCTGGCGGGCAGCGTGGGCGAGCCGGCCCGCTCAAGCTGCGCGCCCCAAAGCTGTGTGGCTGCTGCCATCTGGTGGCTGTTCGAGGTGGTGCATGATGGAGGGTGTCTAGGATGACAACCCCCGCCACCCCCAGGCGTCTGCGGTGCGCCGCGCTGGGAACGCTGCTCCATCTGAGGAGCCAGGACTCTTTACTGGCTGCGACTGACTTGTGGGGCAGAGTGGGGCGGAGCGCTGCCCTTTCACCGGCCGTGGGACCGCTGCGTTTTCCTTCGAGCGCCTTGCAGATGGGCGCGGAACGGGCGGTGGGCGGGGCTGCTCCGCAGCGGGGCTGCAGCGCACGCACGGAGGCAGGCGGCCCGGCTGCCGGCGGCGAGGGCGAGGGCGAGCCGAGCCCGCTGGAAGGGCAGGAAGCGAGCCCGGGGCGGAGCGTGGCCCCGGTGGGAGGCGGTCAGGGCAGCCGGGTGGGACAGGCGACCCCGTGTTGCCAAAGGGTGGCGCCGCTGATACCCGCCCCACACGCTGCTGTGTGTGGTGCCCCCTCAGGGAGGATCCCCTCTGAAGCGCGGCGGAAGAGGGCTCCCCCGGGGGGAATGGGCTGGCCTCCCCTCCTCTGCAAGGCCCGCAGGCAGCTCCTCCGGGGGGTTTCCTGTCCTCGCGCCGGGCGGAGGCAGGCCAGCCCATCCAGCGGCGCGGCGGCCATCTTCGGGGGCCAGCAAGCCGGGCCGTGCGTTCCCTTGCGCCCGATTTTGCGCTTCTGGGCACATGCCAGGGAGGAGCCGTTTTCACGCGGGCAAACGCCTGAGTCGCGAGGCCAAGCGAGCCGTGGGTCTGCCCCTTCTCACACGCACTCCCCCAGACGCTGCAGCCCAGCTCCGTACAGACGGGACGCACAGATGGCCGGCACCAGCAACCGACTCGGTTTTTAATGGGCAGGGTTACAGCTTGGGCGCACAGATCAGCTGAGGGGCCGGACCCTGCCCTGTCCCCGTGTGGGGGGCTGCCGACACAGAAGGCCGGCCGGGCGGTGGAGCCCCGTGTGCTGCTGGGGGGATGCCCTGCGTGGCTCAGGCCCCTCCTGCCCGGGGGTCCGGCTGCGGCAGGCAAGTGGGCCGCCCTGTGGGCATTTGCGCCTCCCCAGCCCTGCAAACGTGCGTCCCACCACTCGAAAACAGGATGCAACTCGTACTTACACCAAATACAGGCACTTCCCGTGGAAGCTTTAGCTTATCAATGTTCAAAAAAATATTTAATCCCATCAATCTTATAAAAAGAGACCTGCAGGATAGGGGACAGAATTCCGGGCACACGGTTCTTGGCACTCCCCGACTGCGTACAGAGGCAAATTACAAGGACACGGTCACGTGGGTTTCCCTGTATCGTTTAAAGGAGAAAAATGAATGACCCCAACCTCTGGACAGCTGCGGAGATGCGCTAACCTGGTTTCTAAACTAAAACAGACATTTAGAAAACATCGCCATGGCTACACTCTCACTGTGTTTACAAAGACGGGGATCGAGGCCGGGGGGGACGCCAGCAGCCCCTCCGGGTGGGCCGGCGAACAGGAGCAGTTGGGGGGATGCAGGCGGGGGGCGAATCTTCTTGGCCAGGCAGGCGCCTCCTTCCGAGCCTTGCTCTTGGTGCACGGTGCTTGCACACTCCCTTTTCCGGCACGGGAAGCGGGCATCCTGATGTGAAAGCACTCGGAGGGTGGGCCGTGGGGGGAGGCGTTTGGACGGCACCCCCGCCGGGTTGGTGCGGGGGACATGGCAGCGGTCTTCTCCAGGTGTGCCTGCTGCCTGCTCCAGCAGCTCTTCAGCAGACCGCCGGTCCGGTGGCTGTCCTCGCCCCCTTTCCGTGGGGCGCACTGCGGTTTAGGACTGCAGGGCAGCGCTCTGGGGGCCTCGGGAGCAAATCCCCCTGCCGTGAACCGGAGCTGCAGAGGGCACCCCGGGAACGTGCTTGGAGCACGTGGCCCTGCCCGCCTTCAGCGCTGGAGGGGCAGGGCAAGGCGGCCTGGAGACAAGCCCCCGGCAGTGCCTGTCCACCCGCCCTTGTGCTCACGCGAGTCCGACTGCTTCTCCCCTGCACCCCCCCTCCCCCAGAGAAGCCCCCCCACGCATCCCTCTGCTGGAGCAAAAGGCCCACGCGGCTGCTGCCCCATCAGCTCCAGCTGTGAATCCTCCGCCATCAAGCGCAGCCCATCCACACGCCGGATCGGCCGCGTTTGCCCCGCAGAGCCCTGGCTGGCTGTCCCGCTTCACATCCACGACTCAGGACAACAACGGGGCAGGGACTCTGCACAGGTGCTCCCCTGGAGGGCCGCTGTCGCTGCCCCGTCCGCAGCCCCCTGCCCCCAGGACACGGGGCCTCCTCCCGGCGTCTCTCCACTCGGGCACCCCTTCCTCTTCCCGCCGTTCGACCAGCAGAGGACTGAGCACCATGTCCGGGGGCTGCCAGGAGGAGGGCCCCTTCTGCCACGGTCACGGCGAGGAGGGCCGGGCGGGCATGCGAGTGTCCGCCTTGTGGGGACGAAGGACCAAGGCACCAGTGAAGCACGGCGTCCCCTCCCGCTGCGCAGGGTGCGGGTCCAGAGCCGGGGAGCCCCCTGCACAAGCCGCGCCCACCGGGATCCCTGGAGCAGAACTGGAGCAGAATTGCGGGGGGAGAGGCAACACCTTTGATCGGGGGGGAGGGAGCAGCAGGTCTGGGGTCTCTGCCAAACTCCGCCAAGCATCTGCACTGATCTCTCGAGGACGGTCTGGGGGAGGCGATCCAGAGGTGTCTGGAGAGTCCCACGCAGCTGGCTTTATATCGACACTTCATACTCCCGTGTTTCCTGGGAAGGGAGAAACGCTCGGTGGCCCAGGCCCTGTGGCTCTGCGGGCGCCTCGGCACGCTCTTGGCCCTGCACCGCAATGCCCATCACGCCCAACTAGCTTGGCCAACAACACAGAAACGGAGCGAGTCGGAAGGGACCTCCGGGCCATCCAGTCTGTCCCCGGCTCCAGCCGGCTCTGCTCACAACATGCCCGCCACGTGCACGCCCGGCCTCACCAATGGGGCCTCGGCCACCCTGGGGCCGAGCCCCGCTGGGCAGTGGGGGACCACAGGCAGGGGCCGCTCACCCCCGTCTCGTAGATGGGGTTGTCGAACTCCGTCTCCACGGTGATCTGGCTGTAGGGGTGGGAGTACATGAGGGGCAGGCGCAGGCTGGAGTAGGAGCGGCACCTGGCGGCGAGAGGCGGGAGAGGCGGGTCAGCGCTGCAACGATCCCGAGCCGGCGGCAGAAGGCGCGGCCGGCCGATGCCCCCGGCCCCCCTCCCCGCTGATGCGCCCACCCTGACCCATAGGCGCCCGGAGACAGGAGGGGAGGGGAGCCCCCGGGGCAGAAGCTCAGGGCAGCGTGCCGGGAGGGCCGGGCGCGAGGCAGAAGGGCGGCTGCCCGGCCCACGTGCCGGGCCAAAGCCTCCTTGCCGCAGCGGAGCCGTCAGAGCCGTTTCCATGGGAAGCCAGCCGCCGCACGGAGGGGCCAGGAGGGGCCCAGAACGGCCGGGATCGGAGGGCCGGGAGTGCGTCGAGGAGCCGCCCCCCCCACCTACCGCGTGACGTAGATGTAGGCCCCCCCCAGGAGCAAGGAGACCACGAGCACCGGGATGAAGATGGCCAGCGCCATGTTGCCCCCTTCCAGGGAGGTTTCGGCCGCAGCCTCGGCTACTAGAGAGAGGAGACCGAGCTGAGCCCCTCCGCTCGCCTGCGTGGCCCCTGCGGACTCTGTGGGCGGGGGCGCTGCTGGAGAACACCGGGGGGGGGGGGCGTCCTCGTTGCCACCTGTGCGGCAGCTGGGCAGCTCGAGAGTGGGGCTGCCCGGTGAGGTTCGCGGTGCCAGCCGGGGCTCGGCCCTGGAACGGGGCCGTGGCTGCAGCCCTCGCCATCTTCCCCAGGAAACCCCCGGCCTCCCTACCCCATCTGCCACCCATTGTCTCGCCACACAGAGTACGGGAAGCGGGAGGACAGAGTGGCTTCCCGGGGCTCTTGGCGGGGAGTGAGCGGCTCTTAGTGGGCGCCGCTGAGGGCCTCTGGGTGGGGCACCCCCTCTGGGGACCCTGCCCCCCGCCTCTGCTGAAGCGCTCTGCAGAGCAAGGGCTGCATCCATTCCGCCCCAGCCAGCCCCCTCGTACTCTTCCTGGGAGGTCCCCCCGCCTGGGAAGTGGGGGGGCGAGTGGGGGTCCGCTCACCTTCCAGGGCGTGCTCAAAGCTGTCTTGATTCACTGGAAGGGGAGAGAAGAGGAGGTGGCGTTACTCAGCTCGCATCTGACCAATCACTCACCCCCGTTCCCTGCGAGAGGATGAGGAGGGACGCGCCACGGACACGCCACGCAGCCACAGGGGAAGAGACCCAGAGGTGATGCAGCAACCAGGAAGGCTCTGGGGCTCGGTTCCCGAGAGGCCGGGGGGGGGGGGGCGGAGAAAGGCCGTGGCTGGCACGAAGCACGTCGCAGGGCAGTGAGGGGCTGGGGGCTCCCCCCGCAAGCGGGCAGCCCGGCCCAGGCGGCCTCCTCCGCAGGCCCTCTCGTGTGGGCTCGGGCACGGGCAGGAGCCGCGGTGGCCGGCAGAGCCCTGGCGCGTCTCGGGGTCGTATCGGCCGGTCCCCAAGAGCGGCTCTGAGCGGGGGCCAGGGGAGCGGGCCCTTCGCAGCCTCGTGGCCCTGGGCCCTGCTCCTCCCGGGCGCTGGTACCTTTGCAGACGGGCAGCGGCCCGCTCCACCTGGAGGGCTGCCCCAGGATGCACTGGATGGTGACCTCCCCGATGAGCTCGAAGCCCTCGTAGCACATGAAGGTGAGCGACTCCCCAGGCAGGTAGAGGCGCTTGTACAGGACCTGGTAGCCGTTCTCGGGCAGCCCCGGGTTGCCGCAGGCGAGCGATTCCTCCGCTGGAGGGGAACACGCTGCTCAGCCCAGGGCCGGACCGCTTGTCTCCCCCCGCCTGGGAAGAGGGGGCCCCCGAGGGCTGCCCCCTCAGCGCTGCTGGGGACGCTCGGCGGCTGCGCCCCCCCCCCCGCCTGCTGGCAACGAGCGCTTCCGCGGCCCGGGGGGAAGGCCCCTTTGGCGGGGAGCCGTTCGGGGCGAGCAGAAGCGAGCAGGCGTCGCCCCCGTGCGAGCGTGCAGGGTCCTCAGTCAGCCTTTCCAGCCCGGCAGTGCCCAGACGCATTGGACATCAGCCCCCAGCATTCCCAGCCTGCGTGGCCGGGGATGATGGGAGTTATCATCCACCACATCTGGCTAGCCTCACTCTAGCTCCACTGACCTCGGCGGAGCGGCTTGTGCAGTCTGCGGATCCCCAGCAAGCATTCCCCATTGGCATGCCTTCTCAAGGGGCCCGATCCACCAGGAACATACCGGATTGACTTCCCGTCGTCGTGCGTGAGTGTGCGTGTGCGTGGTGGAAAAGCGCAGCCCCTGCGGGAGGGGGGCCAAACTTACACACACAGTGGGGCAGGCGCGAGGTCCAGATGGGTGTCCCCGTCTCCCGGCTGTAGCAGGTCAGCAGGGCGCTTCCCTCCATCACGAAGCCCGGGTTGCAGGTGTACTGGATCGTGGTCCCCACCAGCAGCACCGGGTCCGAGATCAGGCGGGTCGAGTGGGACACCTCTCCGGGGTCCGTGCAGTACATGACTAGGACGAGGGGAGGGGGGGTGAGGGTGCTGCCAAGCCCCACAAAAGGCACTCTTTGGCTCGGGGAAGAGCCCAGGCCACGTTTGGCAGCCCCACGCGGCCCGTACTTTTCTCACAGAAGGGGGGGTCGCTGCTCCAGGTGAGGTCCCACTGGCAGGTGAGGGTGTCGCTGCCCACGATGTCATAGCCAGGGTCGCACTGGTAGGTGATCTTGGCCTCTCGAACGAGCTCTGCGTGAGACGTGGTCTTCCAGCCGTTCTGGATTTCGGGCAAGTCGGAGCAGGAGTCGTTCCTGGACACTTCTGTGGCCAAGGAGGACACCTGCGTGAGGCGCTTGGGTGCAGGTGGGGAAACCCCTCGTGTCTCGGCGGGCTCTGCTCATGGCCCGTCCCACGCGGCCTCCTTGCGGCCGCCCAGTGGCCAGCGGTGGCCGCACCAAGCAGGGAACTGAGGCAGGCCAAGGCTGCTCCGGGACCGCCAGGCCCGCCCCTCCTGAGCTGGGCCGCTCCAAGAGGCAGCAGCATCTCCCAGGGCGCGCGAGAGCGCAGCGTGGCGCAGGCAGCCGCGACGGGCCGCCCAGGGATTCTGTCCTGGCCCGGGGAGCCCCTTCCCTCGCAGGCCTTTGGCTGCCCTGGCCTGGTGCCGCGGGCGGCCGCTCCTCCCCAGGCGGCATGGCCTCTGCCCGCGGGAGCAGGGTAAGCTGCCCAGCTGAGGGCCCCCGGCCTCCCCACCCAGCCCCCCAGGCTCGCGTGGGGGGGGGGGGCCTTGCGCCTTCCAGCCAGGGAGGCTCAGCCTGGAGGGGCCTGCAGCGCCCCCTCAGGCCCCGATCCAAAGGGCCCCGCCCCCTTCCCCGGCTGCCCAGCACGGGGCGGGGCTCCTGGCCTCGGAGCATTGCGGGCATCCTCCCGGGAGCGCTCGGCGATCACCTGGCCCGCCCTGGCCCCGGCCCCGCCCCGGCCCCGCCCCCGCGGTCCACCTGGCGCCCGGGCCGCTCGGCGCACCCACCGATGTAGCTCATGACGAAGCCCTGGCCCTTCCCGAAGACGAGCCCGGCCGGGTCGGAGTGGAACTGCACGGCCAGGTCCGGCGTCGAGGAGTAGAGCTTCTGCGGGCCGCCGCCGCCCGGGAACTGGCCCAGCACGTGGCCGCCCGGGTCCTCGCCGTCGTACACGGTGAG